GCTGACTCATCACCAAGTTTCCATTCCCCAGCTCTGTAACTTCCCTTCCAGAATGCAAGGCTTGCCTTGGTCCTTGGGCTCTCCTCACAACACAGACTCCCAGCTTCTGCTCTTCGCTGCCCCACCTCTTGAAATTGTTTATATAGTACGATCTGGGACACGCTTCTTGGCAGTGGCAGCACCCATTTCTGGAGCACTGAGATTGTGTTCTGGTGACAGAGGCCTGTAGTATCTCTAGCTTTGTACAATCACTCACCTCTACAATAAAAACAAAGAGCAGTTAACAAAAATAACAAATTTAGCACCAGCTTCACAGAGCTCTGGAAAAGCCTCCAAGAGATGTTATTTTTATATTTACTATCAGGATTTCATTGTGCAGAAGAATTTGAAAAACATGTATTTTTACAAAAATGAAAAAAGTATATTTCATCAGCACTGGATAGTTCAGTTGGTTAGAACATGGTGCTAATAACACCAAGGTTGCAGGTTCGATCCCCTTATGGGACAGCTGCATATTTCTCCATTGCAGGGGTTGGACGACCTGATCCTCAGGGTCCCTTCCAGCTTTTCAATTCTATGATTCTAAGGTTTCGGAAAGGAATAGGCACACTTTCATCTTTCTGGAATAGTATCTACTCTCTTATTCTGGGTAGGAGAGAGGTAAAGGGACAATTCACGTCCAAATTTAATATGAAGAAAAATAACACTTGGACATTATTGTTAAAACTAGCGAAGTATTATGAAAATCATGAGCCCTAAGTCAGAACACTGAGAACAGGCATATCCTTTAACTGATTTTTTTTTTAAAGGAAAAAGGTATTTTAATATACCAGCACCATATTATGAATGCTTAGGGATCCTAAATCAGGGCCTTGTTAGCCTATTGGATTGTTAGCCTTGGTAAAAACAGTCTGAAAAATCTCAATTGTCAGAAAAAAATAAATTCACCAAGTGCAGGATAAATTCATCTAGTACAGATATTCTAGCATCCTTTGCATGGACCATATGACTGGAGCTCATTCAGCAGCAGTGGCCCACTGATCATAGTTGCAGGCTGTCTAGTATAAAATATTGGCCATTAAACAATTTCTGATTATTAGATATAACACCTAGGTCCTAAATCTCCTGTGCAGATACTGCCTTTATCAAAGCTCAAGTCACATGAGAAAAATACGCCAAAAACCGGATTACTGAACTATCACTGGTGTCAGACTCCCCAAAGCGTGGTCTTGAATTTTCAGGCAGATGGGGTGTGAATATGGGTAAAGTATTAATTTTGGCTTGACTTGTGACTGTATCATCGGCTATGCTAAGCAGTCCGTCTTCTGCATGCTCAGGGCATGCTTAAGTGTCTCAAGTTGTGCATTTAAAAATGGGGCCATCTAAAGCTGGCAAGCACCACCGTGTTCTGGGACTAAGTAAATTGCTCATTTTTTGATATCATGATTGCTTCTGAGTTGGAAACAAATCAGTTTTCTTTACTCTTAGATCCATGATGGGTAAAGATTAATACATCATTTTCTCTCTGGAACATGCAGACTGTCTTGCAGTGCAGTTTGAATACAAAGCCATCTGCAAAATGTTTCCTTTATTCCTTTGGATTTTGGCTCAGATTCCAAGCGAAATTTAAATGCAACACCAGTTCCACTGTCTAATGACTGAATAATTAGGCTTTTAACACAGACAAGGGATCATCTGAAGAAATGGCTTTTTGTAAAAGGGCATTTCCTTTTGAACTATGCCTCTGTGTCTGTTCTGCCAAGTTATCTCCTCACTGCAGAATATATATCTTGCTACAAGGACTAAAATATATCTTACATAGCTTAAAGAAATGTTAACTCTCATACCTGAATGCCTTTTCATAGAAGGCTTCCATGGGCTTGTTATCAAAAAGACTGATCGTTTTCCTTATTGTTTAGGATTAAATTTGTATGAAATGATGGCTAGTCTTATAGCAGTTCTGGGGCAGTTGCACATTTGTAACCTAACCAGACTGTAGCAGCTCTAATGCAGCCTGTATCTGACCTGCTTGCACAACTTGTCATGTGCAAGCTCGATAGGGCATTATAAATATCCACCATGCATTCAGTGAAAGTGTTGGGGGAGACCACAATTGCTGCTCTCCCACTGCCCATTCAGCATTCATGTGAAAGGGGATCTATGCACATGCAGACCTAGCCAATCAAGGTTCTCTTTCCCATGAAGGATCATTATAAGAATATAAGATGACCCTGCTGGATCAGATCAATGGCCCATCTAGTCAAGCATCATGATATGACAACAACAACAACAACAACAACAACAACAACAACAACAATGCAAAAACCAGATGTGAGGCTTCAGAGGCATGGCTAGCAAAAGTGTATGCTTCCCCTTCACATGATCACTGAATGGATGAGGGTTTGTCTAAACATTCCTAACACTGCAAACTCAACATGTTTTCCCTTGCAAAATCAAACTCTGAGTTGCTAGAAAACAAGTCAATTTGGCCTATGAAATGAAAAACATACAAAATGGTGGGAATCAGCCTTGAGTTCTGGGGCTCGTTTGTTAGCAATTGCCTCTAACCACCACCACTACCATGATTTACAATGAGAAACAAGTTTATGAGCAGAAATTCAATTCCAGTAGCAGATCCCATTCACAGGCTATCCATCTAAGAAAGTTAAGATTTTTACAACCTAAGAAAGAGAAGATACTTACAAATAGGTAGAGGACAAAACAGAAAGGGGTGCAGAGAAGGAGAGGCCAAGAAGAGATCCGAAGGCTAAGGAGAAGAGATACAGTACTTTCCCAAGAAAGAGTTCCAAAGAAAAGGAATGGTAAGATAGCAAGGACAAAAGAAACCACAAAACAGAAGAAGTAATCTGAAGTCTAATCGAGAGGATGGCAACAACCCAGATAAATGGAGGAAAAATACGGAGGAGCCTTGGCTTAGTGGTACAAAACATTACCTGTGTACAAAAGGCCCCAAGTGCAGTCTTCAGCAGCCCGTTGCCTTATTTTACCTGAATAAAGGGACAAAGTGCATAGAAAGCTGTGGGGCCATGCTTAGACTCCTCTTGTCCTCCCCATCCATCAAAAGCTTGGAAGCATTTGTGCATACACCTTTATGTACTGGGGCTTCCCCAGATTCTGGAGTCCTAAATGTACACAGTTCTAGGATCCAGAAAGTCTACCCACATAGAAGTCCATGTGTGAATGATTCATTACTTCCCACCATACACCATCCCTGTGGAAGGGGATTACTGCGGAGGCACTAAGAGGCAAGTTGGTAGCAGGAGGACACTGGAAGTGGGCGTCTCCAAGTGCATTGACTGCTTATTTGTGATTGACCAGGCTAGAGTCTAGACCTGCATAAAGATATGTCTGAGTGATCTGAGGGTCTTCTTTTGATGGATGTTCCATCAAATATCTGAAAATGGATTTGATGAGTGATCAAATCCATTTTCAGATATTGAGGAAGTTCAGGTAGTGGAGGAAGATCTAACTGAGCTACAAAACGACATTGAGCAAAAGCCAAAGTTTAAGAAATTGTACCATATGTTTTGGTTACAGAAGGATAGTCTTGCCCTGTTCTGCATGGACAGTGGTTAAGAAGCTCCTTGTTGCATTTCTTCTTCTCAATTTGGGTCAAAAGTTGGTTTGGGGAAAACACAAAATGCAGTTGTTTGTAAGAAATGACACGACAGATAAAGGATAGATGTGGATTGTGGCTAATGTTGTGTGTATGCTACTTCCCAAACCAGCAGTGGGAGTGCTCTGGGTGCAGAGTAAAGGGGAGTGTGTGCATAGCCTAAGGAGAGGTTGCTGACAGCCCATGCCAACTCTGGGCTGGTTGTAAGAAGATTGGCAGGATGAAGGAAGACTGCATTTGGTGGGGCAGAACGCCATTTGTTCTAATGAGCCAGCCTCCACTGGGACATCTTACAGCGTCTTTCTTCTTGGAAAAAGTAGAATATTTCTCCAGACACTAGTCTGGCTTTTTTCTTTTCTTTTGAGTCACATAATTCAGACTTTTCAAACTTACTTGGAAAAATTACATTGTTTTACAATTAAACACGGGGGGCCATAATTCACACAGACTTCTATGTACAAATTCAGAATATGGAGAAATCCATTTGTTCCTCAAGAAGAACATCTAGGCAGAAAGGCCTAAAAGTCTTAATGGAAATGTTATGCTTTTCTGTCCATATGCACTGTACTTAATTTTACATCAATTTTACATGGCACTTATCTTAGAGTCTGGTTTAGAACTGATGAACAAGTCTTAAAAGGATGGTGATGGTGAAGATAACTGCAGTAATCACAACCACTGATTACTAATAAGCTGACTACAGTTATTCCTCTTGCTTCTGGAATAAAGTGGTGGTGGGGATATTCTCAAATGCCCATCAGGGGGCAGTAGAATTCCATATACAAAAAGCTTATGTTGCAGCTATCATAAATTATTTTGTGTTCTCACTCTAGCATTAAGCTAGAAAACACTGTGAAATTCATGCTTTTCTTTTTGAAAAAAAGTAACTTCTCTACAGCAGACTATTTGTCTGTTTTAACCCCAAACGTATAAGTTCATTTAACTATTTTCATTTAGCGGGCAATAAATAAAACCTTCTGAAATCCCACAGTCCTCATGAGGAATTTACTTTGCATCCCAATACAGCATTCAAACGGAATTCCATTTCCTCCTTTTTGAGAAACATGGAGCAATTAGGCTTTTCTATAGAGAAGTGATTATCTAATAAATGACTTTCTGCAGAGTGCAGTATTCAGATGCAGCATGAGGGGGTTCTTGGGCCACTTGGTGGCCCAGCACTGAAAAGGCTGGCACTAAACAACCGAAATGTTACAGAAGCTTTCGAAATAATGAAAAGGCTCACGGATAGAATAGGTCTTCAGGGCATTTCCTGACAATCTGGACCGTTACATAGAAAACTTTCAGTAAAAGATAGTGGAGTGATAGGTAGTTGGGCTAACGCTCCACTCCGAAGATACTAGAAGCAAATGATAGCTCAGTTGATTAGAGCCTGGTGCTGATAATGCCAAGGTTGCAGGTTTGATCCCCAGACAGCTGCATTGCAGGAGGTTGATCCTCAGGGTCCCTTTTGACTCTACAGATTCTATGATTTTTTGCAATCAGGATCATATTATCATAGATCTGGGGTACCAGACGGGAGCTATCCTTTCCTTCTGCTCTGGGAGTAGACAGAGACAAGAAATTTGGGAGGCTGCCAAGGTGATGGGGGCATGATGTCACAGGCTACTACAGCAGATGGCGGTGGGGTTTCTGCTCTTGGGACTGTGAACTGATTTACAAAGGGACTCTGTCTGCAAGTTCAACAATGATTTTGAAATTCCATGATATGGTTTCTTGTTGTTGTTTGTTTGTTTGTTTGCATGCTGCTGGCAGTGGGATGCTTTTCAAAAAATGTTGTTACTAACAGTGACTACATAATCGTATGAGCACTGTTCCAGAGTACTTTTCATTCTCATGTATATTACATCAATTCAAAAAAAGATTGGGTATGTAACCTTTTTATGTTACAGTTTATAATACCTACACTATTTGAAGTTATTGTTATGTATGCAGAGGTCATCGTTTGAATATTTCATTTACAGTTAATGAAGAAATTACACATCTTTCTACTCACGAGTGTTTGTTGAACTAATTGGCTGGTGAAGAATAGAAGGAAACAGTAGTTGCTATCCAGAAACACTGTTCAGCATAGTTCAGAGTTGGACATCAGAACTGGACAATTGCCGATTATACAAAGCTTTACAAACTTGATATGACTTATTCAATGACTTTCAGACACTTCAGTTTGATAATTTTGATGTTTTGCATTATTCTATTAAGTTTTCTATAACTGTAATTGTTTCTGGCCATCGTGTTGCTTTTGATATTGCTGAGGCAGTGGGATGTAGCAGGTGACTGTTGGAATTACCCTGTTTAAGGATGTGCTTTTTGCAAGTTATAAGGATGGAAACTGTTAATACTGTTTAGGAGTTATTCAGAGGGTTTTGTGTATGCATAACTGTGTACGACAGATAAAGGAAAAATGTGTGTTTTTGACATCTGCCCTGCGCTACAGGAGTGCCAGGGAAAACTGAAGGAGACTGGAGGTAATACAGCTCTGCCACTGAGGCTTGCAATCTTAGTTAAACATGTCCTGGAAACTCATCATCTTTGGGCTGCCAGGACGTGGGTGACTGGGTAAGGTGATTTGACATGCAGAAAGGTGGTTAGGGCATGTGCGCCATGGGAAAGAGGGAGGCTTGAGTTCTTGGGGACTGGAAATTGCTGGAAAGAAATGAGCTGTTATTGTATTGGGGTTGGGTTAAAAATGTAATGGCTTTTATGATCTGTTTTGATGCTGATTTGTTTTAAATGCCTTAATAACTGTTCTTTCTTTGTGTGTAGTAACTGAAGTTAGATGCCTTTTTAAAGAAGGGGATAATGCCATAGATCTAGGGTACCAAAGTCTGTTAGTAAATGGTAGAAATTAAGAAACAGTGGCATTTAGATAGTACAGTCAAACCTTGGATCCTGAATGCCTCTGTTTTGGAATGTTTCGGCTCCTGAACGTCAAAAACCCAGAAGTAAATGCTCCAATTTTCGAGTGTTTTTTGGAAGCCATGCCTCCGTTGTCAAACATTTCAGAAGCTGAATGGGCTTCTGGAATGGATTATGTTTGACAACCGAGGTTTGACTGTATTTGGGAATATGAAGGGAAAATACTAGCTGCAGAACTGTGCTGGACAAGAAAATCCTGAGTTAGCTGACACAAACCAGGTGGATGTCACACAGGAAAATGTGTCCCTTTTAAAACAGATTGGTTTGGGGAAGGAGAGGAGCCACTTAGAAAAGGTTATTGGGAAGAAGAGAGGAGGGGCCAGAACTCAATGCAGAGGCTGTGCAGGGTAGAACCAAAGGAAGAACTTGTGGAAGGATAGGTGAAGGAAGTTTAGAAAAATGTAGAAAAATACTGAACAAATAGTAATGCCTCAAGCACTAATTTCCCCCTTGAGTTTATAAGAGATGAAGTTTTAGGGCTTACTGGCAATGCATTCAATTTCTATCTCAGGGCAGCATACAAGGTTCAGTCTCTCAGCTGCTTTTATCTCCACAGCATCCCTGAGGGAAAGTAGGCTAAGGAATCATGGCTGTCTCAAATTCACTCATTGAGTGTTTTGGCTGAATGAGAGTTTGAATATTGGTTCACTCCAATCCTAGATCAGCACTCCTAACCATCACAGCATACTGACTCTCTGGATGCATCACCAGGTCTGGACAACATACCCTTGAGAGTTCCTAAAGATTTAAAATATGGCATGGACTGTTTTACAGTGTTCAGAGAGTGGCTCAATCAGTTGGATCCCATTGGATAAACCAATCTCCTTCATTACTGATTCAGAGCTCTTGAGGAAATCATAAAATAAAAGGCTCTGGGGCAAAGAACCACCATATTATGATTTATTTGGCAAGTATTTCTCAGTTTAGTTTCTCTAGTTTGCCTAGCTCTGCCGTATCCATATCCTCTATTCTGTTCTACAGCCATATATCTTCAAACGTCAGCTATAAGAGTTTCCAATCCTGAGTCAATATATCGCCAAAGGAAGGTAATTTTCAATTTTAGCAGCTGTGTGTTGTGTTTCTGCACAATACATGTACGTGTTGCCTAAACACTTCATCACTTTGCTTTCCCCTTCTGTTCCGACACATTCTCCTATGAATGGAAAAAGTGACAAATACAACAAATATCCTAATTAATGATGGGAACAGAATGCCAAAAACACATTCACTCTTTTAGGATTCAACCCGAGCAAAGGGAAATCTGAAATGGAGAGCAGGCAACCAAGAACCAATTTGGGAAATAATTGCTGAGTTCATAATAATTTTTTTTTCTTTAGAAAATTAATTTGATTTCATTTCTAATGTTGCCTTAGGAAGCAAATTGTATGAATACTAATTTGTCAAGATTTCTTCCAAAGAGTCTCTTTCTAAAACTGTGGGAGTAGAATGTCTCTTATCGAAAGACTCAAATAATGCATTGATTTAAAAGTTATAAAAGCCTTGTGTGTATTTATGAAGGGGAACGTTAGAAAAGAGGTACTCACTTTGCTTACAGATTAACTTCCACCAAGTGTGGACATCAAGTTATTCCTCATGTTGTTAGAAGCTCTCTAATTTCAGATCAGTTCTTCCTGCATTAAACATTAGCCCACATTCTCCCCCTCCCCACTAACCCCATTCTCATTACTGTAGAACATTAATGTAGAACCAACTGAGCCATGAAATGTTATGGAAATGCCATCTTATCCTTTAGAACACTTCCCCTACTCTGAAGCTCCTTGTTATAATAATTTTATTTTCCCTTGTGAACCCAATTATTTAGCCACCTGCTCAACATTTTCTTTGGTGAGGACTTCACACTTGCTTTATTAACAGCTCCAAAGATATGAGTGAGGTGTGTATTGCTGACCTATATGGGCTTTAACTGAAGAGCACAGAGAAAGAAGTCAGTTATGGCAGCTTTTCTACAGAGGGGAACACAAGGCTTGCCCATCTTCTATGAGTTCTAGATTATAACTTTTGGAACGGTCCCGTTCTTAGTCACAACCACATGACTTGCCTCTTAAAGTAGTTGCATGGGGATATACAGGTATAGAAGATAGTACTATTGCTTCTTCAACGACATGTTTCCTATGCCCCAATGAGTCTCTAGGACTAATGGCAAGTACAACAATGTTGTTGTTGTTGTTACAATTTATTACCCACCCTTCACCCCAAGGTCCCAGGGCAAGCTACAAGAATTTAAATAAGATGGTCAAGTACAGAGGTTTCCCCTCTGAAAATGAATCTGATGTCCCCACTCCAAAGGTGTCATGCAGCACTCTGGGTGTCAGGAACATGGCCCTCCAGAGGGCAGGAGAAGAGTTAGACTCAGAAATCGAACTAAACGAATGAGGGGAAGACTCTGCAGATGAGAGCTGGCTGTCAGAGTCGGGAAAGGGCAGTTCGACCCCCCCTTCTCGGGGGAAACTGTTAGCTTTCGAGACAAAGAAGAGTTGGAAGGCAGCCAGAACATTGCTAGACAATCAGCAGATAAGCAGAGGTCTGAGTTCAGGTCGAGTAGCAGTGGAAAGGGGGCAGGCCAGCCTCTCAGCCCTTGTGCTAGGCATCTGGATAAGATCAGATGACAACAGAAGGGCAAGAGGGGAAAGGTGGGAGTTTGGCATCCTTCCTGCTGTGGGAAGGGCGAAATTTCAGACTGACCAACTATCGTAAATAGTGAGCAGGCGAGAAGCCATGCTCTGGATGTGTCTTTTTGTAAATAAACGTACATAAAACTGCCAGAGAGTCATTATTTCTTATCGGGGCTTGATTGCCTGCCTGAGATCCTTCCACTGGGAAGGCCAAGGCCAGTGGAAGTTGTGGGGGTGGGCTGTAGCTCAGTGATAGAGAACTTGCTTTGCATTACAGAGGCCCTGGGTTCAGTCTCCAGCATCCCCAGGAAGTACCAGGAAATTCCCCCCTCTGAAACCACAGAGAGCTGCTGCCAGTCAGTGTAGACAATACAAACCTAAATGGATTAATGGTCTGCCTTGATATAAGCATCCTATGTCCTCTATGATTATTGCAGCACCAGAGCTGGTGTTGGTGTCCCATTTCCCCCAGTCCTGTGCTTGCGTTTCTCCCAGCCAAGCCCTTGATGTAGTATTCCGAGGGTCCCATGGTTGGGCTAATGGCTGTACAGTGGAACCTCGGGTTAAGAACTTAATTTGTTATGGAGGTCCATTCTTAACCTGAAACTGTTCTTAACCTGAAGCACCACTTTAGCTAATGGGTCCTCCTGCTGCTGCCACGCTGCCAGAGCACGATTTCTGTTCTTATCTTGAAACAAAGTTCTTAACCTGAGGCACTATTTCTGGGTTAGCGAAGTCTGTGACCTGAAGCGTATGTAACCTGAAGCATATGTAACCCGAGGTACCACTGTATATCTAATGTCCCTATATCTCCTGCTGAAGGATCCGTGGATCTTATGACATGTTGCCATTTGCTGCATTGATTGTTTCTGAG